GTGCCTCACCAGCCCTGACAGGTGAGCTCACCCTATCCCAGCACAACCTACTTGCAGACGCAGCAGCCCAGCTTGCCACAGCTGAAAGTTTGTCGTCCAGAATACCCACTCCACTAAATACAGTGGGTGGGCTTGCCCTGGCTCACAGCTTATCCACTGCAGCTCCCACCCTACCAGAACAAGTTGGGTCATCCACCAAGGCCCCATCATGCCAAATCCATAAAATACATGCTCCCCACACAGGGGACACCCCTTGAATGCCTGTTGCTACTGGTTAGGGGAGCTTATGTTTCTGGACCACATGGGATTAAAACAACTGCAGAAATGGAGCTTGTCAGGCTACCACCCCAGGGTACGCACAGACAACAAACAGCCCCAGCCTTCCAGTGACCACCATTTGAAGACTGGGAGAGACAGCTGCTTTGCCTAATACATAGTGAAAACCACAGGAGGGTCAGGAAATAGGAAGGGACAGATACAAGAACAAGAAAAACCACAGAAAAGAAATTGATGAAGTGGAGATATCTACCAGGTAAATAAAAATAAAAACAAATCTACCTGGTAAAGAGTTCAAAGTAATGGTCATAAAGATGCTCACTGAACTCAGAAAATGGATGAACACAGTGAGATCTTCAAAAAAGAAAAAATGTAAGAAAGTTCCAAACAGCAATTATAGGCTGAGAAACACAATAACTGAACTGAAATATACACTAGAGGGGTTCAGGAGCAGACTGGATGAAGCAGAAGAATGGGTCAGTGAACTGGAAGAGAAAACAGTGGAAATCACCCAGACAGTGCAGCAAGAAGAGCAAAGAAAAAGTGAAGATTTCTTAAGAGACCTATGGGACAACATCAAGCAGAATAACATTAATATACAGATCCCAGAAGGAAAAGAGAAAGGGCCAGAAAACTTTTTTGAAGAAATAATAGCTGAAAACTATTCTAATCTGGGGAAAGAAATAAGACATTTGGTTCCAGGAAGCCCAGAGAGTCCTAAGTAAAATGAACCCAAAGAGATCCACAGCAACTCACACTATAAATTAAAATAGTGAAAGTTAAAGAATCTTAAAAGCAGCAAGAGAAAACAACTTACTCATACAAACCCTATAACATACTCATATGAGACAAAATAGAGTTTAAAACATGAACCATAATGATAGACATAGAAGGGCATTACATAATGAAAGGGGTCAATCCAGCAAGAAAATATAACATTGATATATGCACCCATGTGAGCACTGAAATATGAGAGAAATACCTATGGGGAGAAATCAGCAATGTAATAGTAGGGAGCTTTAACACATTTAACTTATATCAGTGGGTAGACCACCACACAGAAATCAGTAAGAAAGCATTGACCTTAAATGACACATTAGCACAGAGGGTCTTAATAGATACATACAGAACATTCCACCCAAAAGCAGCAGAATACACATTCTTCTCAAGTGCACATGAACATTTGCTAGTGTAGATAAAATATTGTTACATCAGAAAACAAGTCTCATAAATTTAAGATGTGAAATCACATTGAGCATCTTCTCTGAACACAATGATATGAAGCTGGAAATCAATTACAAAAAGAAAACTAGAAAAAAAAACAAAAACATGGATATTAAGCAAAATACTACTCAACTAACATGTCAGCAAAGAATTCAAAGAAGAAATTTAAAAGTAAATACAAATGAAAACAGAAATACGACATACCAAACTCTTTGGGAAGCAGCAAAATTTATTCTAAGAGGAAAGTTCATAGCAATACTGGCCTAACTAAGAAATGAGAAATCTCAAAGAAAAGTTTAACTTTCACACCTAAATGAACTAGGAAAAGACACCAAAGCCCAAAGCTAGAAGGAAGGAAAAAATAAGGATCAGAGTGGAAACAAATGGAGAACAAAAGAACAGTAGAAAGCATCAGTGAAACTCATAGCTAGTTCTTTGAAAAGACAACAAAATTGACCTCTAGCCAGACTAACCAAGAAGAAAAGAAAGAAGGCTCAAAGCCAGAAATGAAAGAGGAAAAGTTACAACTGATACCTCAGAAATACAAAGAATCATAAAAGACTACTACAAAAAATTATATGGCAACATATTGGACAACCTAGAAGAAATGGACAAATTCCTAAAAACATAATCTTCCAGACAGAACATCAAGAAAACTTAAAATCTGAATAAACCAATTACTGGAAAGGATATTGAATTGGTCATCAAAAACCTTCCAACAAACAAAAGTCCAGGACCAGATACCTTCACTGAATTCTAGCAAACATTCAAACATGACTTAATACTTATCTTCAAACTCTTTCAAAAAAATTAAAGAAGACAACTCCCCAATTCATTTTCTGAGGGCTGCATTACCCTGATAACAAAACCAGACAAGGACACCAAAAACAAAAAAACATGCCAATATCCTAAATGAACATAGATGCATAAATTCTCAACAAAATATTCACAGACCAAAGTCAACAATAAAGTATCACACATCATGGTCAAGTGGGATTTATCCCAGGGACACAAGGATGGTTCAACGTCTGCAAATCAATTAACATAATACACAAGGTGAACAAAAGGGAGGATGAAAGCCTATGGTCATCTCAATAGTTGCTGAAAATTCAACATGCATTCATGATAAAAACTCTCAACAAAAATGGGCATAAAGGGAACATACCTCAACATAATAAAAGCCACATAGGACAAACCCACAGTTAACATACTCAGTGTTGAAAAGCTAAAAGTATTCTTCCATTATCAGGAACAAGACAAGGATGCCCACTCTCAGTGCTTTTACTTAACATAATATTGGATGTCCTAGTCACAGCAGTTAGGCAAGAAAAAGAAAGAAAATGCATCTAAATCAAAAAGGAAAAAGAAAACTCATTATTTGCAGATGACATGTTACTTTATATAGAGAACACTAAAAACTCTACCAAAAAAACTGTTAGAACTAATAAATGAATTCAGTAAATTTTTAGGACACAAAATCAACATACAAACATCAGTGGTGTTTCCATACACTAACTACAAACTTTCAGAAAGAGAAA